CGGACATGCAGGTCTTGTTCTTCCACCCGACGGACCCGCGGATCATAGAGTGCGGGTTCTCCGTGGCCGAGTTCAAGCGGCCGGACTCGCTGCACCGGCGCGGCTCCGTCGTGGAAGGCGAGCCGTTCGTCGTGGGCAGGCAGTGCCTCGACGGCCTGTTCGCGTACCCGCCGGCCGCGGCCGTCAACCACCTGCTGCGGCGGCGGGGCAACGCGCTCGCGCGGGCGGCGCAGGTCTGGCACCCGCGGAACAGAAGGGCGCTCGAGGCCGTGCTGGGCGAGGTGGCACAGGGCTACTACAGCCTCCTGCGACAGCGGGTCGAGAGGGCTGACCTGCGGCTGACGGCCGACCAGGTGGCGGATGAGAGGGCCGTGTGGAAGAACGTGGGCATCATGCTGCGGACGGACCTGAACGAGTGGATGAGGGACATCTGTGTGTTCATCCTGCAGATGATGAGGTACGTTTTGCAGTTCCTGATGGTACGGGCGTATGTGCCTACCCTGCTACGGTGGTTCAGCTTCGCGAGACCGCTGGGCTACGAGACGGTTGAAGCGCCAGAGCAAATGGAGGTAAAGGATGCGAAGGAAAGGACCGAGGAAGACGCTGGCTCAGATGAAGCTGCTTTCGAGAAGCCACCAGCAAAAGAGTCTTCCCAGGAGACGGTGTGAGCCAGATACCTCATGTATCTGAGCCGTCGTAGTAATCGTACTGGCATGTCGAGATCAACTAGGTCTTACCGAGATACACCGAGCCCGGTTTTCGGTCAGCGACGAGCAGCCAATGGGCGCCGTGCCCCTATTCACGATCGACGTCCGTGTTTGTTTCAAGGAGGCGACCAATGCCGCATCCAAGCCTTGTTGCAGTGTTTCAGCTGCGTTGACGCACTGCTATGAATGCAATAGAGTCTGGTGACTACTTGAATCGCCTTCATCCCGTCTCGCTCATCTCAAGCTTCCGCTGTCAACTCGTCTGTACTTTATCAACACCACGTGGCGCTCATCATCGAGAATGAAAGGCTTCTTCGCATTCACCAGTGTCCTGGCCGCAGGGCTTGTGTCAGCAGATGCGACTCTATCCATGCAACAGGCTTGGAGGATCCATCCTGTCGTGGATGCGTGTCCTTCAACACCGCTTCTCACAAATTCAGCCTGCCAACGCTGGCCGCCACCAGCAGTAGCATCTCACGCTCCACCCGTCACACAAGCACCCTCTCAAAACCAAACATCACATCCATATGTGTCGCCGGCGGCACACAATGTATAGGCCCCTACTGCCTGTGGG